CAAATAACAGTATACACGTTGTATAGAAAGAGAAATAACTATTTCAATAACAATAAATTCAGAAAACTTCGTTTATCATTAGTTTTATTTAACAGATAAATAAGAAGAATTTCGAACAAAACAAAAAAAAAAAAAAAAAGGAATTTATTCTATTTATACTTTGGAGAATAACATTTTGAAAATATATTTCTGTCTTTAATGAATTATTTGATTTAGATTCAAAATTTTTCGAGTAATCTATGATGCATAAGTATCCATACAAATGTCGAGACCTGCTGTATTCGAATATAAAATGTTAGAAGCCTAACTTTTTCATTCACACATAGAGCAAAGTATGTATTTTACAGTGCATATTTAAAGTAACATTTATGATGTAGGTTGAGATATTAAGTTTTGATTTTCTTCTTTTTTTTTGTTTTTTTAAATCACTAAAAATAACTTAGTTACCAGAGTAAATATTTTTGCGCTTTTTCGTCGTTTAACTTATATTATATTGACTAACAATGAGGATGATGAGTTCAGATTTAGAAAAAGAAATCTATGGGATCTAGGCTTTCTAAAAGCTGATTTCCTATTTTTCTGCATATTCATGGTAGACAGCAATCAGTTTTTTAAACGAAACTAGTAAATTCCATAATTTTTGATGAAAATTTTAAACAATTATCACAACATAAATTTTCAAAGAGATCCAAAATAATGCAGTTTTTTTGTGCCATACGAGAATATGTATGAAACATAAAAAAAAAATACATTCTATTGAACTTATGAATGATGGCACAAAGAATGAGTATAAAATAGTACTGAACATCAATTTCGACGTAATTAGAAATTTTAATAACTCAGAAGTATTACATCCATTGAACTTGAAATTGTTTTCTAATCAAAAATAATATAGCTATTCAAAATTTATATTCTATTTTTAAAGTATTAAAGCAAACACATAGCCAAGATATGAAAGAATGTTTAGTTTTATCTTGGCAACAAGTCATTTTAATAGTTTTCAAAAAAATAAAATTTAATATCTCAAAAACACATCCTCAATTTTATTTTAAATATGCATTTTAAAGTACATACTTTGCTCTATCTATACGAGAAAATATTAGAGTTCTAGCAATTTCTGTTCGAACACAACAGACATTGACATTTCTGCAGATACTTATATTTCGTAGATTAGATATAAAACACGAAGTTCTATAACTAGGCAAAATGTGTGATCTTGACCATATTCTTTTCAAAGACAATATAGAGTGACATTTTTTTTTCTAAACATATTTCCAGTCGAATCGATTCGAAAATTTTTTTTTTTTCAAATATAATTAAACTCACGAAGGAATATCACCAAGTGTGACTCGCCAATCGAGTTGCTATTTTGCCTATAAGTAAGCCACAATGTGACTAGTAGAAAACTATAAGGATTTGTTTCTCTGTACTGTTCTTACCAATTTATTACAATTTTACAGAATTTCTTATCTCTGATAAGATATTTCTGAAGCAACCGACTAATAATCTGAGAAAAACAACACATGGAGACGAATTTTTATAGACTTCTATTAGTCTCGTTGAGACCTAGTAATGGGTAAAATATCTGTTCGATTGGGAAGTTATACTTGAGAACCCTCCCTCGTTAGCAAAAATGCAGTCACCTAGTTTGCGTACCATAAGTTTCTTTTGTGACTTTATTCTTCCTCTTGTAATATTGAGTAAAATGAATTGAACATCTTCAATCAGTAAATCGAATTTTATTCTTGAATTTAGCAGAAATAGCGTGTTTTTGGTTTAATGTTTAGTTCAGTGCTGGAAAATTTTTTACTTTGAAACACAGGCGCCGACTATAAGAAAACATACTACTAAAAACTTTTTAGACTTATTTCCATTTTCTCCTACCAATCCAATCAAAACTTTTCAAATCAATCGTATACTCATGATTAATAAAAGTAATTTAGTATACCATATTGATATCCACTGTGATCAAGATCTTGTCAAGATCATTAAACGATCATTTATTCTTATATTTCTTAATTGTATTCGATACATCTTGATAAGGTCTGTTCCAAAATTTTACAACGTCGAAATCGGAAAAAAACGCCAATTTGAATTATCTTTCTGCAATAATCGTGAGTAAAATAAAAAGTAATCCAATTGATTTATTTATATAATCAAGAATTCTTAAATTGTTTATAATTTATTTGCAGAAAAGAAATCGTCAGTTGATTTTGTAACTGTGCTGATATGAAAGAGATTTCACAATCATAGAACTCTCGTCAACTTCCGAGATTAAAGATCGAAATAATTAAAGAGAAGAGAAAGATGGTGGCAGATTACAAGATTCTATGACAATATAGGAGTCATATGAGAGATTGCATTTTTTAATGGTAGGACTTTTGTTGAAAGTTAACAAAATAAAAGTTTTATTTTAGATTTTAATATTGATAGAATCTTATTTAAATTATTTCTCTGTTTGATTTTTTTCTTGAGATCGATAATTGTAAAAGAATAACTTAGCTCATTTCCTTTTGAAATCTGAAATTATTCTTTTTTATTTTTCTACTTTTGATTAGTTTAGAAACAAATTTCTCCATCAAATTCTCACTTAATTACAATACAACACACGAAAGTCAAATATTACACTAACCTATGTCACATAAAACGATTTGTAAATGACTTGAAAATAGGAAAATCGGCTGCCGTTAGGATAATCATTTACGATACACTGTAAAACAGAAAAATGCTAATCGAATTTTAAAAGCAGCGATTAGATTCATTGATTTTAAACTTTACTCAGTCGACGTTCCGAGCGTTCATGCTCATTTTCAAGACAAATGAATATAATATTGTTACAAAAAATGAAATTAATAAGAATACTTGCGCAAACATGTATTCTTATTAGTTTAATTTCTGCATTTTTATCTATCGTGTATATGAAACAACAAAAATATGATGATAAATGACGACCGTTACGATCATCGATTAATATTTCAGCAAAAACCAATATCCTTCCGATTGTCACTTTTCCGACGTTTTCATACTACTTTTTTTTTACATCGAATTGAAGAAATATCTTAAACCTTTCATTAGACAATCTTTGAGGAGTTATAATAGGTTAATCTTCATGATCTTATTGATCGCTGCCAATTAAATTACAGTCGAAGGCTTCTCTACAGATGTATTTGACGATATGACGTACATTCTTCAAAAAAAAAAGTCTTTGTGTCATATTATATGATGTTTAATATGAATTACTATAGATGAGAGGCACACATTGTTTTGTATTCTGATTCTTAGTGTGAAATTTATTGAAATTGCAATTCTCATCTTGTTTGCACGATATAAAATGTAGAGCCTAATAGAAGTAAACAAATCAAGCTGTACACACAGCTAAATAAGAATGTAAACAAGACAATATATTGTGAAGATACGGTTCCAATACTAGTCATCGTTTTTCGACGGAAATGATTCTGACAGATGTCATTTAAGTGTTCTCTTATCTGAGATAATGGATTACGGTCCGAACAGTGATGAAAGATGATCATCGTTTTTGTTTTAGCGTTCAAAGCAGACACTGAACTGTTTCTGACAGTCAGAATGATCATGCTGAGAAGAAATTTCATGCAAATACAATCTTTATATTCATGTTTAATAATGTAGATTTTGTCTATACTATTTTTAATGTTGACCTAACTAACCGGAAGACTTTGTCTGATTATAAAAAAAATAAATCATCAGAGTAATCACAGTCATATTATTCAAAAATTTTCACTTCATAAAATATTGTTCAATAAAAAGTGTTAATGAGAAGGGACCAAACCATTGAACTTCTATCATTCCTAAATGAACGTAATTTACTATCATATTTTTAATATAAATAGATGAAAACGATGATTTTTCATGTAAAATATATCATGTGTCATAGGTTTTTTCGAGAAATACATAATGAATGTGATTTATTTAAATTTCATATGGACATTGTATTTACACAATGTCGTTTCAAGAGCGAGGCGCTGGAAAGAAATGTGTAATGACATAAGACATAACATAATCTCACTTTTCTCTAATAAATAATGAGTTTTAATAACTTACTACTTTACGTGACTAACAATAAATTGATCTTACGCGAAAGGTCACCGAATAGTCTTTGACAGAAAATTAGGCTGAAATTTTAGAAATATATTAATAGGACTATTTCATGTCAGTTTGCACACGACTCAAATGATTAAAAAACTGAAACTTCTGATTATTTAATTTTTTCATGACATGATTTTTCAGAAAATCATCAATGAAACAACGATTATTTGTTCGAACCTGAAATGATACCGTTGCTATCATCATTACTCCGCGTTCTCATCTTCATCATCAAGATGGTAAATTTCTGACTTCTTAACTATATTTGCAATGATTGGATTCAAGACACGACGTAATTATATATATATTAGTACAATTGCTAGGAATTTTAAAAGGTAATTTTTCAATAATCTGAAAAAAAATCTGGATTTGAGATTTACTACTCCACACCTTGTCATACTCTGCATCTTTACTAACAACATAGTGACAAGATGATCGATCACCTTTATAAGTCCCTGTCAATTTGATTGATAAGAAAAATAATTTTGAAATTAAATGCACAGCGTCCTCTACATCTCCTGATTACTATCGGTTCGATGTCATAAACCATTCCTGTGTTGAAGAATAATAAAAACGAAAATGAAATTATGAGTGAAGAAAATACAAAAAAATTTTGATCATTTCTTTAATTCTATTTTTAAACTAATCTTCTCAGTTTAGTTAGAAATAATAAGAACATTTAATATTTGATTACGACACGTTCTTCTTTCAAGAATAACAAGGACATTTCTGCAGGTTAACGACATTCTCTACACTAATTGGCATGGTACATCAAGAAGTGTGGGTGCTACAGTGTCACTGATCTGCAGATGTATCTTTTTTTTATTTAAAATTTAATCTAAACTATGTAAATCTATGTATATTTTCAGATAATGCAGAATATGTCTCAAAATTCATCAAATAATACTGCTAATAAATATTGGAAACCAGGAGGTGCTCGACCACCACGACAACAATCATCATCGATAGTTGATCGACAAGATTCAACGTCTGAAAATGTTGATCTTTATCAACATTCTAGTATGTCTATTGCTCAACATCGTCGTCATTTACCTATTGCTGCCTATCGAACACATATTTTATATTTACTTGAAAAATATCGAACTTTAATCATTGTTGGAGAAACAGGTGAGTCTCCTCCTGTGTGTTTTTTTTTGTTCTTCTATGAAAAATCTGTTAGCGTAATCCTTGCAAAATTAAAATATGAAATACAATGGAGCTGCTCTTGCTAATCATAGAGAGATTGTCTTATTCTATCTATTTTGAGTCACATTTTTTTTTCATCATGCTCTCACTTAATTCTACAGAAATGCAATATTGTAACGAGACGTTATTGATATACAGTCTTTCATCGTATATCAACAACGTCTCTAACGATCTGTAAAGCAGTGAGAGGACGTCGCTAAGATGTCGATCACGATCTATCATATGTAGAATCCGTCGGATTAGTTCTAGACGAGTCCGAATCCACAAATTTTGGATCCGATGGACTCTAATGATGCTCTTTGACTAGTGTCTATCACAATGTATGAGAAGCAGGTGTGAATTTCTATCCTATATGTTTCAACACTTTTTTTTAAATCATGTTTCACAAAAGACAAATCTTTGGTATAAATAGGTAGTGGAAAGTCAACACAAATTCCTCAATATCTTCTTGAAAGTGGTTGGACTCGTAATGGAAAATTAATTTGTATGACTGAACCTCGTCGTCTAGCAACAATTCAATTAGCACAACGTATAGCAGATGAAAAAGATGTTTTATTAGGAAAAGAAATTGGTTATCGTATACGTTTTGAAGATGTTTATTCAAGTGGTTTAACACAAATATTAATAATGACCGAAGGACTTTTATTACGTGAACTTATGTATGATCCATTATTAACACGATATAATGTGATTATCATTGATGAAGCGCATGAACGTGCAATTCAAACTGATCTTTTATTAGGTTTATTAAAAAAAATTCAAAAACGTCGACGAGATTTACGTCTTATTATAACATCAGCTACAATTGATTGTGAACGATTACGTGCATTTTTTGAACATCAAACAAGTTCAATATCAAAAAATTTAAATCAATCTGAAGAAAATAATAATGATGATGAAGAAAAACTTAATGAATGTTTTATATTGAGTGTTGAAGGTCGTTCATATCCAGTTGAAATTTATAATACAACTGAAACTGTACCTGATTATTGTAAAGCATGTGTTGATACATGTATACAAATACATGAAAATGAAAAATATAATGAACAAGGTGATATTCTATGTTTTATATCTGGACAAGATGATGTTTTAAAAATTACACGTGATTTACATGATTATGCTAAACGTTTAAATGATGAACAACAACATTTAAAACGTAAAGATGAAAGAAAAAAATTAATTATTTTACCATTATATGCTAATTTAAAATTTATTGATCAAATGAAAGTTTTTGAAAAAACACCACCAAATACACGAAAAATAATTGTTGCAACAAATATTGCTGAAACAAGTTTAACAATTCCAAGTAAAGTAAAATCTTTCATTTTTATGAAACTTACATATATTTTCGAAGAAAATAACGAATAGACTCAAATTTCCGTCTCTCCCCATATTAGAAGACTTGTGGGTATTGTGAAAATGCCTTTTGTTTAAATCTTGTTAACAATTTTTTCCTTCGTTGAAATGTTGCTAAATCATGTTGATTGGAGAATAAAAATTACGAAAGAATATAGGAGAAAGTAATTGGTTATGTATATATATATATATATAACGGAAATAGATTTCCTTCGAACGAAGAAAAGGAACTAATTGTCAACTAGAGAAAACGATTAATATTAAACTTCATTTGTAATTAGCAGTAATATATATTTAGTGAATATATAACATATGGAAGTACAATATCATACGTTCGTTTATAATGATGAAGATTCAAATTTTGATAATTGTGACAATTCTAATGATGATTCAAATGTTAAAATTACTTCAACCATTGATGAATATGAAAATGAATAAGTACGTTTATCGACATATCATCAATTGGAATCCGAAGATGATTATGATAATAATAAAGAAAAGATAGTCAAAAAAAAATTCGAATTTACATTTGTTAAACATCATCAACAACAACAAAATGAAACAGATCAGTTTATGAAGAAGTGAAAATCAACTGTAGTTCTTTTATGTAGAAGGATTTAGACTGTTCTAGAGAATTCGTGAACATTACAAAGTCTTCATCAAAATTTGAATGACTGGAATACGTTGGCAAATATTCTAAATAGTGCAGATAAAAATTTATATTTAACATGTCAACAATGATGGATAATCATGCGTTCATTTGTCAGAGTCGTCATATGATCAACATAAAAAAAAAAGAGTGAACTGATCAAGTTATAGACTTTAGGAAATAATCAATATTAGTATTTGTAAGCTTATCGAGATATACATATAATAGTGTGTTGAGACCTGTTGTAGGTGTAATAGATATGTATAATAGACTTATTTGTCAATTAAATCAATAGTTCGAATCATAGGCGGCAGAACGTTTTGAATCTAGAGTAGGTTCAACAATGTTTATAAGATCTTTACTAGAAAGTTACGCTTATGGAGGAGGAGGGAGAATCTTTTTATGTCATTCAAATAGAATACAGTTAGGGCTTTTTATTCTCAACTCACATGTTGAACTATATAACACTGGTATGATTCAGAAAAAATACGTCACTCATATCAAATGGCGTATAGTTAAAGAAACAGATCAACTTTCGTTTTTATTTAATTTTGCCTCTTGAAAGAAGAGTTTTCAATCAAAAAGAATAATTGTAAGTTTAGCTCCTGAATACGAAGAAAGCTTTTAGTTTATTTAACTCGAATTTTCGGTACAGTTCTTCTTCACTTGTTACAAAGAAATGCTACATCAAGTCATTGTCAATGTAAAGTTCAACATTTAGTCATAAAAAAATTGAATATTTCCTCAAGAACGTTTTCTAAGTAGGATTCACTACGAAAATGTTACTATTTACTGCTGAAGACAGTGAAAAAATTTCTACGTACAGCATTAATCTATCAATCTGATAGAACAAGAAAAAAATGTATGAGCCTACGATACATGAACCTAGAGTAGGTTTCAGCCTACCGAAGTCTCGTGGCTACACTGTCTATGATTAGTATAATGATAATAATATTAAACTAAGAAAAATGAAGTGGGAAAATGAAAAGCAATAAGCAAACAAAAAATAAATAAGACAGTACAAGAGATTTTTCACTTAAAGTATTTTGTATCATGAAGCTAAAAACCCCCATGTGAGTTCCACATTTCAGCTGCAAGAAAACTGTGCAGGAGATTTTTTTTTTTCTTATGAAAATTTTTTTATTTAATTAGATATTGTTTATGTTATTGATTGTGGTTATGTACGTTTAAAATTATTTAATCCAGAATTTGGTTTTGAAGTTTTAACAACATTACCAATAACACGTTCATCAGCATTACAACGTGCTGGTCGTGCTGGACGTATTCGTTCAGGAAAAGCTTATCGTCTTTATCCAGCATCAGAATATGAAAAAATGAAAGAATTTCAATTACCTGAAATGCAACGATGTGATTTAGCTTTTGCTGTTCTTCAATTAAAAGCTTTAGGTATACATAATATTGTTCGATTTGATTTTCCATCACCACCACCATCAAAAAATCTTCTTCAAGCTATTGAATGTTTATATGCATTACGTGCTATTGATCAACAATCTCATTTAACACCTGATTTAGGTATGAAAATGGCTGAATTACCTTTACATCCAACACATGCACGAGCATTAATTATATCACTTGAATATGGTTGTACACAAGAAATATTAAAAATAATTGCATCACTTCAAGTTAAACATGTTTTTATTAGTTCACCTAATGAAAAAATGCGTGCAATGAAATTACATAGTAAATTTGCTTGTCAAGAAGGAGATCTAATTACTACTCTTAATGTTGTTAAAGCATTTGAACAACAAATGATGCCACAACAATTTTGTGATAAGTAAATATTAAATGATTTTGTTTTTCTTAGAAATAATAAATATGAGCTATGAACTAATGTATATTAATAGAAATACAAACAAAACGGATTAGAAGAATAAAAATACGTTGACTTAAATAAGTCCAATAAATTTCAAAAAACAAAAAATCCCAGAACGTCTCCTTGAGATACACGTGTTTTTTAATTGTACGAAGTCACGTCGCTAACGAATGATTTTACCCATGAATATAATTTAAAAAAATGTTTTATGTTATTCTTTAATTGCAGGCATATGTTAAATGTAAAATCATTAAAACGTATACTTGAAATAAAAGACTCATTAGAAAAATCACTTCGTCGTTTAATAATGAAAAATGATAAAATTCTCTCATCATCAGGTGATGATGTTTTACCAGTTCTTAAATGTTTAACAGATGCTTTTTTTATGAATGCTGCACAACTTTCAATTGATGGTTATACTTATCGAACATTTCGTGGTTCATTTCAAGAACTTTATATGCATCCTTCATGTATTTTATCATCAATATTAACAAAACAAGATATAACACAAAGTCAATTACCTAAAACAATATTATTTAATGAATTAATTCAATCAACTAAAATCTATATGTCTGATATAACTGTTATTGATCAAAATTGGCTTTATGAAATGGCTGGACATTATTATGAACAATTATCAACAAGACAATGGATGTTAAAAGAATCATATGATCTAGAATAATAAAAATAAAAAAATCTTTCTTTTGTTTTTTCTTTGATTATTTGTATATATTTCAGATGGAAAATGAAACATTACGAATAAAAATTGTCTCATTTAAAGATTCCAATAAACAAAATTTGAATAAGTCATTATTTTATGTTAAAAAATTACTAGAGCTACCATCAAATAATGGTAAAATATTAATTGATACTATTGTTAATAGTGAAAATTAGAATAGATTTGGAACATTTGAAAGGAGGCTTTTTTTTTTGAAAAAGATTTCTTTATTGAAAAAATAACTTTTTTTTTTATTGATTAGAATTTATAGAAGTTAAAATTGCGTGTGAGAAAAAAGAAAAATTTATTTTTCATTTTAATTTCGTTTTATTATTTAATAAACTTCTTTTTATAAATAGATGACACAATTATACTTGAACCAAGTGGACCAACAACAACATTTGTTGTTTCTATAAATGAAACATTCGATTGGAACAGGAATCAAGGAAATTATTGTCAAATTATTTGTTTAACAACAAAATCAAAAGTCATAGCTGATACTGTTCTATGGTTTGATCATTTATTAGGACTTATTACTGATCGTAAATATAATGGAAAAGTTCAATCAGAATTACCTTGTAGTGTAAGATATATTTTTTGATTTTATAAAAACAAATTCTTTCTTTTTCTTGGTTTATATTTAGATGGTTCTTGATGGAGCATATCATTTGGAATTTAGTCTTCAACAAATTGAAAATTCAATATCTTTAAGTTCTTGTAAATTGAAAATTCTTAAGCTTTCTTTTTTTTGTTTCTTTCTTTGAATGAATTCTTTTTTTTTCTATTTAGCACTTTCTTCAAAAAAACATAATCATTATAATAAAATATCAAGTCGACAACCTATTCGAGGTCATCTAATGAAATCAAAACAATTTAATCATCCAGTTCATTGTGCTTTGTGTGATGGATTTATTTGGTATTTTATTTTTCATTTATTTTTTTTTTATAATCAATTTTCTTTTTTTTCAGGGGTTTACATCATCAAGGTTTCGAATGTTTACAATGTTCTCTTGTAACACATAAAAGATGTCATCAAAATATTCCATTTTGGTGTCAAAAATCTTTATTTTCAGTATGTATTATTTATTTCCTGTTTTTCTTTTGTTTTTACATAAAAACAAAATAAAATAAACAAATTTTTGTTAATCCAAAATAAGGAACCTATTCGATTAGATGAAAATCTTCGATTAAAATTTCATATTCCACATACATTCAAACGATATGAAGCACCATTTGTTCGAGCTTTAGTTACTCGTAATCATGGTTATTGTAATCATTGTGGTGCACAAATATTTCGAAATGCTCTCAAATGTACACGTAAGATAAAGAAAAGCATCAATTTTTACTATTATGCTCTAACTAATAACTTACCTATATTTATTATAACAAAATATATATATAAATGAAAATGATTATATATATATTTCTCATCTTAAATTAAATTAACAGAAATACTAATTACTTGCTGCTTCTTTTTTACTTTATAAAAAATAAAGAAAATTAAAAAAAATATATTATGTTGTTTTTAGAATGTCATTTTATAATTCATGAACATTGTCAACCAAATATTCCATTGATGTGTACAATTTCATATAATTCATTATCACAAATAATATCAGCCAGAAAAGAGCCAATAGTTTCACATCCTCCGAATCCAAGCCCTCCACAGGACGATGATCCACATTCAAAATCATCGTCATTTGATTTATCATGGCTTGATTCATTACCAGAATTTTCCATCGAAAATCTCCAAAGAATATCTTTACCAAAATTTCATGATTTTAAATATATTGGTCGTCTTGGTGATGGTGCTTTTGCTCAAGTCTATTGTGTTCAACATATTTTATCAAAACAATATTTTGCTATTAAAGTAGCTGATGGAACAAACGAACAAGCACGTCAACAATTAGAAGTTGAAAAATACATTTTATTTCGTTATAGTCATGGAAATCCTTATATGATTAAAGCTTATTGTGCATTTCATCAAGGAGTATATTTTAATCCATTTTTTATTTAAAAAGAAAACAAACGATTTTATTTTTTTGTTTTTCAGAATAAATTATTTCTTGTTATGGAACTTGTTCAAGGTGGAACTTTATATCATAAAATTCAAACAACAAGAATGAATGAAGATGAAATAAAATATTATTTAGCACAACTTGTTTGTATTATACAATATTTACATTCAAAGAATATCGTTTATCGGTAATTTTCAAACAAAATGAAACTTTTTTTGTTTTTTTTTTAAATATTCTTTTAAAATTATTCAGTGATTTAAAACTTGAACATGCAATTGTTTGTTCAACGGGTTCTATACGTCTTGTTGATTATGGACTTGGACGATTATTAAAAACTTCTAATGAAACTTGTCATACTTTTTGTGGTACTTATAGTTACATGGCTCCTGAAGTAAAACTTCTTTTCATATTAATAAAAACAAAAAAAAAAAAGAACGTTGTCAAATGATGTTTTATAGGTTCGATGTTTAGAGAAAAATTCATCAGATAAAGGTTATAGTTTTGCAGTGGATTTTTGGGCACTTGGAATTATGTTTGTACAAATGTTATGTGGTGAACAACTCGATTTCTATCCTCAAATATTTGCAAATAATAATGAAAACACAACTGAACCAAAAGATATAACACAATATTTAGAATTACCTCGTTATATTAGTCGTGAAGCTCATTCATGTGTTATTGGTTTACTTGAAAATGATCCTGAAAAACGTTTAGGTTCACCTAATTCACCACATGGTTCAATACGTGATCATCCATTTTTTAAAGTTGGTCATCGAATTAATTGGTCAGAAATTGATGAAGGTGTATTCAAACCTTGTCATAAAAATTCAATAGTAAAACAAAAAAAGAGAATAATTTTTCTAATAAAAATATTCTTATTTTTCATTTAGGATAAGCGTGTTATATCTGAAACACTGTCTCATCAACCACTTTCGACTTTACAATTAGATAGAGGAGGTCATGCTAAAGATGATTGGATAGCTGCTGGAAAATCAACATGTACATCAGATGAAAATGAACGATTGAAATCATTTGATTATATTAATCAATCATCCTGGCTTGAATTTATTTAGATCAGATGCTTTATAAAAAAAACTTCAACAAAAAAACAGAAAACTAATAATCATTTATTTGCTTAATATTTCTATAGAATGTACATTGCTCTCAATGGCATATCAGTACATTTGCTATACAATCATCCATGTATTTCAATTATTGTGGATAAGAGTGATGCATATTCTGTAGAAGTACTGCTTATGAGTTTTTGTATATTAACAATATTTTATTTTCTAACAAATATTTTAAAGAAATCATTTGTTTTTTGTGAACAAAGAATATGAAATCATATTTAATATATATATCAATAAGTATTTCATAAATATTGTCTATTCTAGGCAAACACTGGTTGTATTAATTAGGACGAGTTAGATTTTTTTTTCGTCCTTACACACAAGTGAAAGCTAATCGTTTAAGGCAGGCCATGACTATACTCTTAAAAACTGCGTAGACGAATTATATCAATGCCATATGGTTCTTTTCTTTTTCGTTTTGGTTCTTATCATATCTTCAAGAATAAAACAAAAGCATTTCGTTTTTTCATTTGTTTTATTTTACTCATATGCTACTTCGTTTTGTGTGCAGATAGGTTTTAGATTCTCATTTTTCTTTCTGGTATCATCAAATGTCATCGTCTCAAATAGTTCGTCGTATTATTAAAACAGCTGCAGCTGGACCTGCAAGTGGACCATATAGGTAACGAGTAAATTTTAATGGGAATAATAATAAATCTGTAAAAAATATCTATTTTAGTCAAGCTGTTCAAATTGGTCAAACATTATATTTGAGTGGAGCACTTGGACTTGATCCTAAAACTGGTCAATTTGCTGGTGATACTGTAAAAGAACAAGCTCGTCAGGTAAGATCCATTATATACATATAATAGATGTTTGCTATTCATTATTATTATTATAGTCATTAAAAAACTTAGGCGAAGTTCTAAAAGCAGCAGGTGCTTCATATAAAAATGGTCAGTTAATAGAAAAAAGCAAAAAACAAAAAACAAAAATTCATATTTATTTTTAGTTGTAAAAACAAATGTCTTTCTTAAAGATATGAATGATTTTGCTGCAATGAATGAAGTTTATGCTGAAAGTAAAAAAACAAAATCTAAATTTATTCATATAAACATATAATTAAATCTTCTATTCTTTTTTTTGTTTTTAGTCTTTACAGATCGTCATCCAGCTCGATCAACAGTTGAAGTTGCTGCTCTTCCAAAAGTAATTAAATTAAAATTCTAAGATTATCTTATTTATTTATTTATTATTATTTCCAATTTTCTTTAGAATGCAAAAGTTGAAATCGAAGCCATAGCTGTATTAGGTGATATTAAAGACGAAGAATAATTATCATTTTAATCATTTATAACTTTGATGCTAACTGATTGCATGTTCACTATCGATCATGTTTTTTTCCACCTTTTCTTTTTCTTTTTTTTTTTTCTATTCAATCCCAACATATAAGTAACAATAGTAGAACTGTGCTAACAACATACCAGTAAATTAATTGCTTGTTCATTCGTTTCTCATTTTATCACACACACACACGCTTAGAAATGTAAAGAGTAAGAAGAAGAAGAAAATCTGATTAGACTGTCGTTTCTCGTGGGAGATTATTTTTGATCGTAATCGAACGTCGAATATGGTTTGCACGCAAATATGTCACAAAACCAATCGGTCGAACTAAGTGCTTTTTTTTCTCCCCAATAATGCTAGGGCGGAACTTGATCTACTGTCAAACAGCAAGGAAAAGCTAGAGGCAAATAGAGACAAGAGAGAGAGAGAGAGAAAAAATCTATGCGTACATGAACAATACTACCTGATAGTTTACAAGATGATGGAAGCCTATAACGGGAGGGAAGGCAACCCCCAACCGATTACGCGTCTA